CAATATCACTTCTATCTAAAAAATTCACTAACCTGAAAAAACTAATTACTTAATCATACCGTGTTTGAGTTGACACGCATCTTTTATAATAATAAATATAAAAACCAAAACATCTCTCCTTACATCATCCTCTTCGCTTTTCTTTCTCTACCTTTTAAAACAAGGGATCACGGAAGACATTGTACCAATACCAAACAAATCAATTTCCATTCTAGTACTTTTTATTTTAGAGTTAGATCAGTGCAAGCTTTTGAACAACTTTCATGCACATATATGTGGATCTGTGTATGCATAAACGTCCAAAAATGATATGCGTGTAGGCATTTTGATGTTGCACTCACAAATGTAATTAGAGGATGCATGCTTTGTATTATTGTAAGACCCTCTTTTTGTGAGTGGGGGAAACGGAGAAAGGTTGGCATGAAAGAAATTGAACTTTTTTTTGGAGCCGTATAATTTTGCCACTTTCAAGTTCCCCCACCTTTAAAGCAAGGCTTTTTGCTCATAGTTTTCAATTTGAAGTCAATTTTAATATCTTGCACATGCACATTGTTTTGTCCCAAGACCATAGTATATACCAATTTTCTACTATTTTTTCCTTCTTTCAGTAACAAAAGGTTATCTTTGAGTAATGCTCTGTACACATCAACCTTTTTCACTAAATTTTACTCACCAAGTAATGTGTTAGTGTGTCGTTTATTTAAATCTGAATTCACTCTGAACTTCGTTTATTCTTAACGAATAAAGACTCTGACATGTATACAAACACATCATTTACTTGCGAGCTTTAGTACAAAAGAAAAGCAAAATAACACTTCCATCACAACAATACACTTCCTCTCTTGTCCTTGGACAGCCTTGGAAGAGTGTTTTAGTGCCACAAACGATGAACGTATAATTTGATGGGCCCATGCATCTAAAATTTGGTTACATAGAAAAAGGTGTGTGATCCTGACTAGTCAACTACTTCGAAGTATGAAATGTCAAATATGTCTAACAAAAATACAGACGAAAAGCATGTCAGTATCAGATCAGGTATATATATATATATTTATATATACACACATTATACATATCAAATATAAAACGAAAAAGAGTCCAATAATTGAACCCAAAATCCACAGCTAAATGTGAAAGAATCTTTAGTTTTCGACCCACACAATCTAAGCTGCAACATAAGCGCCTTAAAATTAGGAGTTTGGCAATTAATCACCTCAATTATGAGATTATTCTAACCGCGTTTATTTGAACTTGCATAAATATTGGTTCTTACTTTTCTAACTTATCTAATACAAGAAGAAATTCATATTGTCGTTCATGAGATTTGAATTCAACATATTTCCGAGTGCGGCCAAACCAAATCAATACGAGTTATAAAGTTAATTAGAAAGTAAAATATTGGCGCAAGCAAGCTGACAAGAACTGAGTTGCATGAGCGCCCCCCTCCCCACAAACAAAAAACTTGGCACAAAATATCTCACATATGAGAGAGACGGTGGAATGGCAAAAGAGAAACAAGGGCGGCCTTGATAAAAGTTTTTATGAGTGTGAAAAGTGGAGACTGAATTTTACTTTTTCTTTGTACTGTGAATACTTTGGGTGATATTTTAATACGTTTTATCAAATTCTACAAGTCAACCATTATATTTATCGCACCCTAAGATATTAATTTAACCTCAGGAGTGCATGTAAAACCAAAAGTAACGTCTTGATTTCACTTGTTTGTCACTCTAAATGAATCAAACTAAGAGCATGGAGACCAATTAAGTTTACTAACAAATATCCGGTTTAGGGCACAAGGATTAGACTTCCTTGTTTGTTGAACTGGACAAATGTTAGAGAGAGAAAATATTAGTGATTAGAAATTAAGGGTGGGTATTTTCAGATTTTTAGAGAATAGACGACCCGAATTTGATCTATTTAATTAATAATAGTCATATTTATTTATCAGTATTCATGTCCTGTTCAGGAATGAAACCAGAAAAAATCAATGAATATAATGTACAAAATCTCTAGCCACCGGCCCACCACCATCACAACCCAACCTAACCATCCACACACCACCATGCCTATAATTTAAGTGGATTATTGTATTAGATATACTCTTATAGATCATGAACTCGAAACTTAAATATAAGAATCTCTAGCCACGGGATCTAGTTTAATAGAAAATGGCATTGACTTGCAAGTAAGCAGTCTCATATTCGAACCTCTATGGCAATGTGGTAGTGTGTGTATGAGAAATCGTTCTCTTCTTGTAGTTTAGATTATCGCTTGTATTCAAAAAATATATGTATATATATATAAAAGAATCCCTTTTTTTCTCAAACTAAATTTATTACTCATACAATTTGAATAAAATGCAAAATCCTCTTAACTCAGCAGCTACCAAAGTTTTTTTGTTCTGTTTTGAGAACAAGCATAAATTCATTATAACATGGACACAAGATATTAATAGTAAGGACACATCCCAAATGGAGTTTCTTGCATACAATAATCTGGAAAAATTAAATCCAGCAAGACAATGTGAAAGACAGAAAAAATCAAGCCTAGTTCACTCATAGTTGATCCAGAAGGCTCATTGCAGCACCAGTACTCCAAAGAGATCATGAAAGACCAACAAATTCTACACTAACAGGAAACCAAAAGCACCCCAAAGGGCTTTACATATAAATGTGAGAAATATATGGAATTCATATAGTACCATAAAAAACCTAAATAAAAAGATTTTTCTTGCCAATATCATGTTTAGTTTGATGTTTCGGGGTGAGAGAAAGTATCGCTCTCTTCTCTTAATAACTAAGTCTAGCAGGTGTTCAATTAACCTTTATTTAAATAACAAAGGAGTTGTTTTCACTAAATAATCCTTGATATAATTCTTAATCTACAAGTTTGATTTTACACGTGAAGCATGTCAATCTTGACCAGCGGTGAGTTCAAAAGGTGACATCTGTCTAGCAATATGCCTGGATTTCTTATTTTCACCTAACATATTACTTGAAGTTTTTGGCTTTATGAGATGAGAGCTTAGATTGATGACACCTTTCACATTAAAAATATGGAAATTATAAAGTTAAAGCGACTTGCAATTCATTAGCACTTCTGCCCACAGTGCTTGGCCAAAACAAACATCTTTGCCCGCAAGAAATAACAACATATAAATGCATCTCGCTTTCACATATCTACCATTGGGATCGACATGAACATTAATTTTTGGAGTTAACCACAAATTAATTATACTATTGTTTGCATTGGCCTTTTGTCGGCTCAAAGCTTTGGATTGGAGTGGTAACTTTGGTTCTATGTGCGATTCTTCAAGACAATAATGCATGCCCATCTCTTTAATATATGGGATGGCTGGAGACATAGTTTTTAAGATTGTAAGGTTTAGGGCTTATGCCAGTTGGGTTCAGCCCAGTTGGAAAGCGCTTTGATTTGCAAACCAATGATCTTATATTCGAACTTCCATCCTTCTTGTAGTTTAGACAATCGCTTGTATTTTTTTTTTAAAAAATTAGGGCTTATATTAAAGAGAAATAAATAAAGCTTTGATACGACATTTCTTTGTCTTTTAAAAGAAACTCAAAGGTTTTGAACCTAGCTATAAAAATGAAAATAAAAACCCTTTGAGATGTGCCCCTGAGTAGCTCAGGTGACATTAGGCGAGGTAGGGGAAATGGTAGGTTCTAAATCCATACGACGCTAATTACTATAACCATTAGAGGGCAACCCATAGAGTTAATTAATCTCTCTGTCATGTATACCTAATCCATCTGTGTCAAACTAACATCCAAAGTTAACCTTGTTTTAGAATTTAAATCTTAATTAAAACTGACACAATCTTCTTAACTTTATAATTACTGGGTTACTAAACAAATCAATCATTGATCAAGTTTGATGCACCTACGCACAATGAAATGTGCTGGAACAGGATTTATTTTTGGAATTTCACCCATGTTTTGAACTTTTTCTCTGTTGGTGTGGTCATTATCAGCGGCTTCATAGCAGGTCCTAGCTGTCTGGTAAAGACGTATCTTCTTTACGAAACCCTCAGATCAATATATAGTGCTGCGTTTCTTTTCATTTGTAATATGAGTGTATGACTATGTATACAATCTTCAAAAAAGCAGCTAGTTTTCTTATAAAACTTGATAAAAACAAAGGAAAAAAGAGAGAGAAAAGAAAAAGTATATAAATAAATAAAAAGGTGACTAATTTTTTTAGGGGGAGGAGGGGCCAGCGTTTTGCTAGTACTATATTGGTTTTCGCTTTAACATAGTGGAATCACATCAGGATGTAGTGGAAGTGGTACTGTAGCTGTAAAAGCCACTCTCAGCTTTTGAATTTTCATCTAATTTAATTTAATTTACAGCATAATCAACTCTCTCTCTCTCTCTCTCTCTCTCTCTCTCTCTCTGTCTGATGGCCCAATCTGGTCCTTGTAAATTGGAGCGCATACATATGAGTATGACTTGCAAACTAAGGTTCAAATGATTAGCAGTTCAGACTTTCCAACCTGGCTTTGAAATTACAAACCCCATAAGAAATTATATATAAATTATGCAGGAAATTAGAATATTATGCATGCATGCATTAATTTGATTTTCAATAGGTAGGAAAGGAAATTTAAAGTTAAAAATTAAGAAATAAGATTAAACAAACTAAAACTTTCTCCCCAGGGTTCCTGCAAGCTTTGCTGTACGAACTGGTACCTTGAGAGATGATGAATATACTGTATCTTTGTTTTTGTAATTTTTAATTCCAAATATATACCGGGAATCTGTTTATGTCTTTAAAAAACAATTAAATTAAATTAAATTTAAAAAAAAAACCAAATGCAAAGTTAATATTAATAAAAGAAATAGAAAAGCCATGAGGCTAAAAGCCTGAAAATTTGGATTGACCAACTTCTGTTTTGGTTTTGATAATGCAGTGTTTTCAAGAACATAGAAATCAATTAAGGACTTGAAATTGAAATTATGAAAAACAACTGCAGGTTGACACAAATTAATTAAGCTAAGCTAATTCTCTTAATTTTATTGTTTATCAATCACCCAACAACAACAACAACGATATAGGCGAGGCGGACTCAAATGACTCAAATTAAACATAAACTGCGCGGCGCATCACATAAATATCTTCAACGGATAATTATATGCATGACCCCAAACTGATCAGTCCTGCATTCTATTCTGCTGCCACAAATTCTTGTAGAACTTCTCTATAAACTCCTCCGCTGCTTTGTCCACGCGGCTGTCCTCGTCCGCCTCCCTCAACGGAAACGGAGAGTCCGTTATCCTCAGCTGGCGGACCATGGGGCTCTTCCCGAACCCGGGAAGCGGTGATGCTGCCACCGAAGCCGCCGCCTCCGTAGCCATCACTTCGTTATTCAACAAATCCAGCACCGCCTTCACGGCGCCAGCGGCGGCCACCTCGTCATCCTGAGTGGGCGGCGCGTGAGCACACGCGAAGAAGTTGTGGTGGTGGCTCTGGTGGCGGCGCTTGCCCATGAGGTGGAAGGTGTAGTTGGGGGTGTTGCTGCAGCTGAACTCGTACTCCCGAGGGGCGGCGGAGGAGGCGGCGCTGCAGTGGTGGGAGTGGCTTTGGCTGTGGTGGTGGTGGAACATGAGGTTGCTTAGGGCTTTGCTGGCGAGCTTGCCACGCTTCATCATCATGTTGAGGTCGAGGAGGAGCTTTCGCTTTGAAATGCCCTTTCTTAACATGAAGAAAGCTACACGTACTAAGCTCCATATTTTCTTGGCCATTACCGGTAGATTATTTTGTTCCATTTTCAAGGCTTTAATTCTATTTTCTTAAATGTTTGGGGGAGAGAGAGAGAGAGAGAGAGAGAGAGAGATATTATTAGAGAGAGTTGTTGGGTACGAGTTCTAAAAGAAGGGTCGGAGGGGGTATTTAAAGGGTGGATACGGAGGTGGGGGAAGAGAAGAGAAGAGAGTTGGGTTTGTATGATTTCTTATTCGGAATTTTTTTATTATTATTTGTTTTATGGTCTGAAAAGTAGGGTTTGTATTTCAAATGTGCACTAGCTAGAATGACTTTGTTGTTGTGGAGTGGATGTACTGATTTCTTGTGTTGCTTTTTTGGTTGAATAGATTTTTAGTGCTACTTTTCTTAGGGATGTATCTATGCACATTTTGGCGTTACTTTGTTCGTTTATTTAATTTCACATATTTTTTTAAATGATCAATCCGTACACAGTTTCATATGCATGTACAAACGTTTAGAAAAAAAATATAAAAAAAGACGGAGAGGGAGATTTGAATTTGGGATAACTTTCAATATTAAGAAGAAAATATAATCTCATTTAGTAAATATATAGTGTATATAGAACTTCTATATACTTGAGAAATAGGTGTTTCGAACTTGAGATATCTTCCAACATTGAGAATAGAATTACCACTAAACTAATAATTAGTTGGTTGGTATAGTTAGTTTAGTTTAGTGTTAGCATTGAACTTCGAGGTTAATTATAATTTTATCATATAAAAAATCATAGGTTTTACGTTATATTATATAACTTTTTAATTAGTGGTGCAAAAATAATTAACTTGCATTTTAAACGTAGGAAAACTAGGTTCATTGTTCCAGCCCAATAGCCCCCTAATGGTAAACAAAGCTTGCTTATCAATGGAAAGTTCTAAAGAAACCCCCAACGTTTGTTATGAGCACCCATCTATAATCCTCATTCTAGGCCCGTAAAGTGGGCCGGGCCAAAAGTTTGTTAGGGCTCATTACTCCATTAAAGTTCACCACTCTTTTTGGGCCTCTCACCCTCTGATGCCATTTGGGTTTGGAAATTGGATGCTAATCGGGTTCTTGGCAATACAGTTGGGAAAGGAATGGCATTGCTTCGTGGCCCAAAATTCACCCTACTAGGAGGACGATAAATTATTGTATGGCCCTGAAAAACGGTCATGTGATATAACTCGTTAATGTACGTTAAGGTTTTGATAATTGAAGTTCAGAAAAGTTAACAGAAAATAAAACAAAAAACAAAAATAAATCTGGAAAATGGATAGAAATGTGGGTATTATATATCTTTGTTGTATTTAATAATAGATAATAATTTTTTTAGGCTAACATATAAATATGGTAGAAGAACGAAAGAATGCTACTAACCAAACTGTGATTAGGAGCTTAGATATACAGGAAGCAAGGTATGCATAATAGTCTCATATTTTTATTCTTTCATAATATTAGTAAGTGATTGTACACGTTTATTAAAGAGAATTGTAGAGTAAGAATAGAATAGGAAAGAGAAATAACAAAATTAATTAAAAAAATATTAAAAAGTAAAAGAAAGCGTAAGTGAGAAAAAGGAAGAGGAAAATCACCTCCCAATAAAATTTATTGTATGCACGCATAGTGAATCACATGATGATTGTGTCCCATCCAATCTGGTCTATTTATGTCAATATGGTGTGCGCGGAACATGGGCGTACAAATACAAGCCTACTCAGCTAGAGGTTTTTCATGTAGCCAGAATTCAGCTTTTCTTCTACTTGTTTTGTTTTAACATTATTTGGCTCTTCATGAGCTTTGGATAACAAATCTGTCGTCAAATGATCATTTAGTTTAACGGCACTCTGTTTTCCTTTATTTTTTATTGAAGTAGATTTTGAGTTCAAATTTTAAATACCATCGTGAATTGTGACTAAAAGGAAAAACATTACAAGTTCGTCTATTATCTTTTATATTTGAGTTTAACATTGAACCGTAGAACTCCTAGATTGATAACAGCCAAGAAAATCAAAACTAAACAATATTAAGACCAAACAGAGAAACTAATTTCTTAATTATTGTCGTCTGTCAATGAAATCCACAGATTTAAAGCACCCTTTTTCGTACAAGATAAATGTGAGTTACAATGACTGCTTTTTCCATTGATTAATAAATTAGCCTTTTGTCATACCATAGCCTCACCAACCTCTCTCTCTCTCTCTCTCCTCCACACACACAGATATAAGAGTTCATGTATGTATGTATACGGTATGATTGACTTATAACTGCTCGTGAAGTAAGAGTTGTGGTTGTGGAGAGGGAGAGGGAGAGAGAGAGAGAGGCAACATGTGAGGCAGGCAGTCCTTTTCTTTCATTTTGGGCTAGGTGCTAGTAGAGAGAGTTTGGACCACGATCGCTGTATATATGGTTAATGGTTTGAGTAGGAGCACACGTGAATCTGCAACTTGTGACCTTTTATAGGGACAAATTAATTATTGTTGAAAGCAAAACACATTGTTTTCAAGCTGCAAAGTTACATTTTCCTTCTTTTAGTCACTTCATGTAAAGCGACATCTTACTTCTTCTTTTTCAGACAAATAACATGTAACGTTAAATTATGGAAGTCATCAACGGTGATCTAAAATCAATTGATTCTTTTTTACACTTTGTTTGGCTAAACTATTGTACAAGTTTTCACTTTCATGGATACAACTAGTCTCTACATGAATAAATATTGAAACTAACATTCTTTTCTCGAGAGTTTTAAGTGTGCCAGTCTTAGAGTATAATTGATAAATAGATATGTAGATTATAACATAAGTGAATTGGTAACATCACTTGGTGGTATGACCGTAAAAATTACTCCAATGAAAAATGATTTGATTATCATATATATTAACCTATGGCATTCCCTGCTGATTAAATTAAGCTTTTGATCTTAATTGAGACTTTCAGTATCCATATTAACCAAGCATAGAGTCTAGGTATAGGATGTGCCACAGCTTCTTTATGTTTTATTCGTCAAAAGAAAAACGAATATGCGATCTTTTTATGAAGCCAAAACATCCTCCTCCACATGATCAAGAGCAGAGGAAAAAAAAAATTAGAAACCCATAAAAAGTTCTTTAGCAAGTTTCAGCTAGGCATTTATTTCAGACCTAGAAAAGCGAAAACAGCTTTCCTTTTCTTTCAAAACTTTCTTGAAAAATCTAGCATCGTCACGAGAACTATTCACACTTAGATTGATAAGTGACATATGAATTAACAAGATCCATAAAAATAACAATGGCCTTAGATTCCCAGTAATGACCAAACTGACTACTATAAATAGGCTACTAGACTTCCTTCTCTACCAACATGTGACAATCGTCTAAGTTCTTTGGCCAAATTAACTTCCCACTGCCAAATTCAAGATCACTCAATCCACTTAGCTTGAGTCCTACGTTAGGGTTGGCATCAAAATTTTCTTACATGGCACCTAATGGAGAGACTATTGTTGGCTCTAACTACTCTAGGACCAACAACTTCTCCAAGTCCAAGCCACCAAGGCTCTCATTCTCATCCGATAGCCTTAAAAGAACTGTATCCGATATCTCATATGAGCTAAGCAAAGAAGCTGTTGATCAAGATTTGAAATCCCTCCCACCAATTTCAGAGGTTGAAGATGCGAAGTGTGAGTGTTGTGGCATGAGCGAAGAATGCACGCCGGAGTACATAGATCGAGTGAGAGATAAATTCTTGGGGAAGTGGATATGCGGGTTATGCACTGAAGCAGTGAAAGAGGAGTTGGAGAAAAATGGAGGAGATAAAGAAGAGGCCTTGAATGCACATATAAGTGCATGTGTTAGGTTTAACAAGTACAGTAGGCCTTATCCAGTTTTGTTTCAAGCTGAGGCCATGAGGGAGATGTTGAAGAAGAGCAAAATGGAAGGGAGAGGTATGAGGGCCAAGTCGATTAGCCCGAGGGACAAAGGAGGGGCAAAGGGAAAGGGAGGGATTACTCGGAGTTCGAGTTGCATTCCGGCGATTACGAGGGAAATGAATGATCTCTCCATGGCTTGAAGAGCTGCTATAATTAATTAAAAGGCTAGTTGCCATACATCTATCTGATCATGATCTCTAGGGGGCATGGTTTTGTATTTGTCAACCTCTCCCCTTTTTCTATGCTGATTAGTTACTAGTATAACTAGCTCCCACTCTATAAATTAACCTTCTTAAATCCCTCTTAGGGTTTCTCTTCTAATGGTCTTATTGATTCACAACAAAATTACCCTATGCACAGGTGATGGATCGACCTTTTTCCTTCTGGGTTTTTCGGGTTAGTCCAAACTCTCCTAGCTATCCCTGTTTATGTACTCTAGGGTTTTTTCAATGTCTACTTGATTCTCTCCTCCACCCCTTCTTTTTCTTTTGTGTTTCCTACTGATTATGTTAACGTGTTGAACCAGCACAAACTGTCACCCTATATACGTGGTTTATGGGGTTAAACAAATGCTCCTTCATTGCCCTTTCATCCTAAGGGTTTCGTTTTTTATTTCCTTTCTCTTTTCCTCTTTAGTCCCCTTGCTCATGTGCATCGTAGCTATTTGTCTGACTTGAGAAGGCTTAGTTGTAAGTTTCTGTATGTGAAGAGCTCCTATGATATGGATCCTCACTTTGACTCCTATCTCAAGCCTCTCTATGTAATTTTCCATCAAGCTATATGTATCGAAATCATGTATTTTAATAATAGTGTTGTTTGTTATATATTTCCTCTCTAGTCGATGAAACTAGAAACAATAATGTTGTGAACTCAATCCTGGCAAAGCAATCAAATTAATTCAGGTAGAAACGCACTCACCTAACTAATTTAAAGCGCTTTGCAAAAACAAAAACCAAAATGAATTTAAAACGATTTTTTTGTTGTTGTCAAAGTTAGGAAGGGAGAAGGGAGGGTTTCTCACACACACTATCAAAGTGTCATGTGATTTTGAACACGAGACTCGGTTGGTTTTCTCACATGCACTGCCAAAAGAGTAAGTAAAATAAACAACCCTAATTCAACTTTCTTCCTTTTTGGTGAAAATAGGGCCAATGCCCAATCCTAAATCCGCTTTCCCCAAACAAACTAATTAACTGAGCTGAAATGACTTCCTCAGAAGCTTAATCAGAGTGGCGACGATTCAGTGAATGTTGACCTTCATAGAAGAAGAAAATGATTTTAGAATTCGAACCTTTCCCATATGAGAAAGATGGAAACAAAGGTGAGAAAGAAAAAAGAACTGTTGAGTTTTAGAGCTTGATTCTACCAAAAAAAGGTGGAGTTCTATAGTGCAGCGTCTTAATCCCATTGCTTCAAGCTGGTTTTGTATGTGAGGTGTTTCATTGATCAGTTGCATGTGCAAGTGCAACTCCTTTTTCCAACATAAGGGGAAATGCTTAAAAAGCACCAGAGTAACTTGTGCTACAGAATAGTTTAGACAAGCAATGTATTTTTTAAATGATATACCTTAAACTTGATTATGTTTAAACATTCTTACAATTTCTGAAAAACATTTTAAACCAGCAAACACTTCAAATCCAACATACATTATAGACTAATGGAACTGAAGATGCTTTTTATAAGAGAGAACTCATGATATCCGATCCTCATAAATAAATGATTTCGGTGCAATTAGAGGTCTCCCAACGTAGTTTTGTTTTGCCATGCAATCTTTTCATCCGAAACCACCCGAAAAAGATAAAAACTGGAAAACAAAGGCATAGAAACAAGGCATTTAAAGAGTACAGCAAGAACAAGCTAACACAATATCAGTCTTAACATCCATAGTATTTATCACAGCAAAACATAGATAAGAGAGAGTTTTAAGCATAAAAGGTTTCCAAGTCTCCTCTATTCAACCCTATTATAACCCCCCCTAGTCTTAGTGACCCGGTCCCGATATCAGACGAAAGACCAGTTTACAAATAGAAAACACATGCAGTGAGCTGTCTCCTCTTCATTCAACACTTTCCAAGCGACTGCTCTCTCATACGACACCGGTCGCCCCATGCTGGAAAGGCATATGCCACCTTGAAGGCAAGCAAAACCCTACAAAATTATAGAACAGACGTATCAAAATCAAAGCTTACAACTCCATTGAGTGAATTGTGTTTAGCAATTCTTTTACACGGAGACCTTTCACGACTCTGATGTTAAACTAGCTCTCCTTTTGCGCGTTAGTTTAAAATGAAATTGGAAAAACTACAGAATTCGGAAAGGGTCAACTAGACCTGTTGCATTATTTGCGGGAATTCTGAGCAGAGAGTCTTCCGTCCATGGTCATCAAATATCTTTTCCAGAGTTATGTCTTGCAGTGCAACCAAGGTGGTCTCTAGCATGTCGAGCCCTGCCTGGTTTGCAAAGGTAAAAACTGGCAATGCCTGCATAAATGGAGTTCAATATTAAATTGCTTCAAATAAGTAGGTATGAGAGGAAAGCAAAGTGTTGTATTGGCGCTTTTTCGGGTCGTAAGTGTAATATGCTCACCTTCAGAGAGCAGCACATAATTGCATCTGAGTGATGCCACAAGGATTTGAGGATAGATTCACCTCCTTCATTGGAGGATTTGAGCAGCTCCACACCCAAATAGCACCTGCAATATCAATAGTATTAGTATATTATGAGATGGCTAAGAAATTGACCTATATTATGAGATGGCCTCATTAATCAAACTTTATGATTAAAACACTTTTAGCATTGCAACTGAAGAAATAATATGTAGCAATATGGTGCGAGGGTGTAGCCAAAAACGCATTTTCAATTGTCCCACAGTGCTCCATGTATCTCAGGCAACATTTTGACACGTCTCAATCAACATTAATATAATCCCTTCCCCCCTCAACCCAACATAAAAAACGTAGGGGTAGAGAGAAAGGTATACAACACCTGTAACTGTTGCAGATCCAACGAGCAAGCGTTTGGGCTTCAGGAGTACCAAGTGGTGACCGAAGACCAGCATGTGAACTTAAATGTGAAGGAGATAGTGCTAATGCCACCCTCTGAACTGAAGATATGATGCTGCGAACATATTGCCGGGCCATGGATGCTACATGTTCTTGCATGTGGCTCTCGCATGCAAATTCAAATGCTATAGTCATCACAGATCTCACACAACCAGTATTTGCAGAAAATTCACTCGATGCTTTATTTCCAGTTGGTCCAATTTCAAGAGCAGAAGCAAGGTCCAAGGTGCGGTTTGGACTCGAGGCTTCCTGAAACATTTTCCAGAGCACTAGCTAATAAGAATTTCCATTGAAAAACTAGTGACATAGGGATTGTGACAGATAATATCAATTTAGAGACAGTTCAGAGGCTAACCTTCCCATAATCGAGAGGAATGATGCGAAAACCAGAAGGCAGAAGAGGTGCATCATCAGCAAAGGAAGCATCAATCGGAGCAAATATGAGTTCAGCACAGGAACCCACAGCATTTTCGTCCATTCCACTGCATAGCTATTAAAAAACCAGACATGGAATTTAAGTGGGAGAACAAATTTCATTAGACAAAAAAACAACTAAATAGAAGATTGGGAAAAAAATTGAATAGGAACACGATATTGTGTCTCTTATCCATATCACTTGTCTCTCCATGTTTTCTGTTATCCACTTAGTAATTTCACAACACAATATCTCATACTCTTAGGCCTTTTCTTTCACAAAAAACTTGACCACATATTCACAGGATATCTGAAATGCGTCACATATATTTTAGAGCAAAAATAAAGGTAAAAAAACAAATCGTAAACAAGAAACATGATGCTGAACTCTAATTTGAATTAGCATGATGCTGAGCACTCCAAATTTGCACTTGAACAGGTTACGAGCTTGAGCTAAAACATGAAATGCCTATGATTTGCAGGAAATCAATTCAGGTTAAGTTACCCAACAAATATTCAGGTTACGAATTAGTTTGTCTGATGTGGCTTTGACAGTCCAAGCTAAGCTATGAGACTGGCACGAAAACACTAACCCAAGACATACACTCTCATAAATAAGAACCATCATTAACACAGGCAGAACGGATACGTACTTGCAAGAGAAACATTTCTCTTGGCATCATTGCATCTTCAGGAGAATGGCCAACACCTTCCAGTTTAATGACTTCCAAGAACTGAAAAGCACAAAAACATATAAATTAAAGAAAGAAAAGTAGTGTTTTCTTATTGGACTGGTGTATAAATTCCTTACTATCAACTTGCTTACCTCTTCATGTTCAATAGTGTGAGCCAGGGGGAGTATAACTTGACCTCCGAAACTTCCAACTCGTGACCCAGCTAAGCTACAAGGGCCAACTTTAACAGCTGCAGCTGAGTAAGCATCAATATTGTTGTCTGCCCATTCTGATCTATGCTCGCGCAGGAACCTAAGAAGGATAGCAGGAGGCACATTCTGGAAAAATACAAAAAAGTACATGACAAACAAGGAAAAGGTTAGAAGGTAAGCTCACCGTGAAATTTTTCAAAGTCATTGTCCATTAGAAAGGTCACCCCGCATTTACATAATGCAAATAACATGCATGGCATAACTTAGCTAGTGTGTTAATTTTAATTTCCAGTTGTTTGTCAAGGGTGATTGAAATGAAAGATGGTAAGCATCCTGACCTGTAGCAGCATTGATGCTTTAGCACATAATACAGAATTACTGACAGCTGGAAATCCATTAGCAAAGGAAAGATTTAAACCCATTAACTTGTCAGGAGATGAGTTTATGAGGATAGTAACATCATCCATGCCATCATTTCCCATCATTGACCACCCCTCATCAGTAAATCCATTAAGTGCCTCATTAAAACCCCTGGCAGAAAACTCCATTAGCTTTCAATTAGGCAAGATCCCTTCACTGACTGACAGAGATTACTGAAACAAAGATAATATACTAACCTACTAAGCCTCTGGCTTAGTGCTCGTAAAGCTGCAGGACGTCTGCCCCACCCTGTGACATTAGATTGAGAAACCTCATGTGCTATCTGCCTCAGCTGGCGTAAAGCCTGAATGAACGTCAGAAAACTAATTAAAAACTTAACATCTCCCCTTTACCCTTCATCGTAGCATTCTTGTCATACAGATGAGTATCCATCTGGATGATTATACATGACTTAACCCTAAAAACAATAAAGTCAAAACAATCTACAACCATATGGTAATCTTACCGCCATTGTCATCTTTTGAGCAAGAACAGCAGATGATTCATACAATGGGCGCAAGACTTCTGGTACGCTACAAGGCTAGTCGATGAAACACGTGTAAGAGCTATAATTCTTTTAATGGATATATCACTACTAAAGTAAATGAAGAATATCATCCCATTATACTTAATGAATAACGTACTTACCTCCAAATCCATATGGTCAACGATATGTATAATTGAACCACCCCCTTCACAGGGTCGTATGAGGTAGCCACTAGGCAGCATTTCTGCTCTAACAAAATGCTGCACTGGAGGCATGGTTGGACCATTTTGAGTGTTTTTCAGAGACCTCACACAAATCTGAGGATTAGACACATGATGAGAACTTGAGGTATACTGGTAAGTGAAGATATATAAGCATGTGTTTACTTGTGTGCTTTGCAAGGTATTAAATGCTCAATCAAAATGATAGTTATTTGGCAAGATGATTCATAATTCTACATACCACAAGGCTGCCATCCTCTAAAACAGAAGTATAGCGCAACAGCCAGAAATCACATGCAGGCGCCAAAGTTGTCGGCGCATAGAGCTACATCAAAAAAATTAAGAAATTAATACCCCCAAAAAAAGGGGTAGAAGAAATAACTTATATGACAAGTAGAACCTACCTGCATGTAGAGCAACTCAATGGTTCCACCGTTTGCTGTAGGCAGTACATTCAAAACATCTACAGCGCGGCAATCACGCAGCCACGAAGGGAGATCTTTGAGGATCTCTGCAACCTAAACAGAATATAATCATTAGTCAATCATAAGTCCCAAGAAGAAGAAAATAGATGCCAAGGATCATATTTACTTACCCTGGTAGGCTCTAGACCCACCAGGCCGCAAGCTCGTGCTGCCACTCCAGTGCAACCATGAGAAATAGCAACGATTCCAATGGAATCCGGACCAGGCTGAAAATATCAAAAAGAGGCGAAAGGATGAAACAAATTTCAAAGGCAGAAATCCCCTTTCAAAATACAATATACAAATAGAAGACTGTACTCTACTATATTCGGAGAAAACCCAAAAAAATAATATCAATTAAGTCGTGCTAAATAAATGGCATTTAAGAGTGCAACAAATACCAATAATCAAAACGTGTTGTTTCCAGTTTTACAATGGATCAGTTGCATCATCTGGGAATGTAGGACTTGAACTTACAATTTCCTCTTCGGAGGAAAAATTATGGTGTAACGGTCCTACGTGTCATGCAGACATGGCGTTATAAATCCACACAAATAACAGTGTAGACATGTAAGACCACATCAGCATGCCACATGATGTTATTGTCACACTTTCTCCTTCAGAGAAGAGGTACTGCTCCAAATTGGGCTTAAATGCCCCGATCACTTAAATGTTTATATTTGGAATTATAATTCCAGTTTCCCATTGTTCCATTGTTTTGGCATTTCCAACTCACTTATTGAATAAGAATGATTAATTAAAAAAAATTAGAGATATACCTTCATTCCAGGCATTTGGACCCACTCAACAGCAGTTCCAGTAGCCTTTGAAAGAAACTCTGCTAAAGTTTCTTCTGCAATGGACAAAAGTCTAGAAAACAAACAAAGCATGAACCCATAAGCCACACACACAAACAACAAGGGTGTCACAAAGCACGATGAATGAAAAGGACATAACAACAACATCCCACTAACCCTGCAGGACTTGCATCCCTTGGCGGATGCTGAGGTGTCAAATGGTGTTGACCACTCGTCACCACTGACTCACAACTCGTGTCTTTGGTTGCAAGCGTTGTCTGTAAGAAAACAACCACTTATGTCAATTTCCAGATTACTCAGAAATTATAAAAATCAATAATTCAAGACATTCATTCTAGGTATATTATGTACCTGAATAATTGTTCTTCAAAAAATCTTATATTCGAAATTTTTTTCTGGCTAATGATTTTAGCTTATTCTAAGATTCCAAATGAGGGAAAATACACAAAAGGATTAGAACTCTCACCCCCTGGGTATGCTGACGGAAATAACCATTTTCATACACCAGATGAGACACCTGCTTCTGCAACCTATCATTTTCCTCCATTAAAAGCTTATTCATAGCAGTGAGCTTCCTATTGACAGCTTGGAGGCGCGAAGCCTCTTTCCGCTGCTTCTCTCTACATCTGAACCAACAAAGCAGAAACAGACAATGCATTGTCATTAAAGGGTTGCCCAAGAACTGAAATATATGCAATGTAATTAAGATTTTCTGATAATGAATTTAGCACAAATAAGGAAATCAAGCCCCATGCAACTGAATATACTGTATGCTAACTAAGGACATATTTCCACTCAAAATTCAGAATTTAAATGTAATTTGTAACTGATTATATTCATCACAACGAACCCATACACTTGCATTCTGCTCAAAGAATCAAACTTTTCAAGATCTAAGCCATAAATTCGAGTTTTTCTTTCCTAACCTTCTCTAAGCAACCAACAAAACAGAGCAGAAAACCCAAAAGTAAAAAGATTGGCTACCAACCATACCTTCTATTCTGGAACCAAACCTTAATTTGTTTGGGCTCGATGTTAGAGAGAATTGGGCACTCCCTAATAAGCTGTTGGCGACGAATCGAACTGGGTTTGGGGCATTCATGATAGAGCCTTTCAAGGGCCTCAACCTGCTCAGGTGTGTACCTCACATACTTGCCATTATCTAATCCTCCCTTACCATCCTTGCAGGACATAGCCATTTCCAATGTTCAGCTCAAAATCACTTGCTACCCACAAAAAATACACCAAACCCAGATGGCTTCTCTTGCTGAAACCACAGCTTCAAGCACCTTTCAAAGCTTCAGAGCACCAAAACAGACCAGAATGGCAACTGGGTCTCTACCCAAATGTACAAACTTGCAGACCTTGGTGCCTAAATATTCAAAAACAAATATCTTTTTCGAGTATGGAGATAAAACCGACAAGGAACAGCAATATCCTTAGCTGGAACGGAGTTGTCCTCGTTTTCTTTAAACCCAAAGGACAGCACCAAACACAAAGAAGCTATACAAATCCTTCGAGATCAGCAAACACAACCGATCTGATTCCCAAAACCAAAACCAAAACCAAAACGTTTGAAACGAAACACGAGTTACTAAATTGACTCAGTTAGTGAAACGAGTCGTCTTCCCCAGCTGGGACAAAGCGATCTCTCTACTACGGCCTAAGAACCAGAGGAAACGTCACCGTCTCACCGATCTCGATGGTTTCCATATCTAATCTCCCAGACATCTTCTGGGGTCTAATGGGTTGGGAGCAGCATGGTTGATGCGTGTGTGGTTTGAGTTTTGGAAGCTGAAAGGTGAAGACTTTGAGCTGGATGAAGAAGAAGAAGAAGAAAAGGGAAAGCGAGGCAGTAAATTTTTTTTTTTTTATGCTTTTGCTCAGTGTTTTTGGTTTGCTTTTCTTGTTTTTGCTTTGGTACTCATACGGTTTTGTTGTTGGTGTTGTTGTTTTTCATTGGTTCGTCACTTTCGGCTCAGAGAGAGGGTCTTCTTCGCTCCACTGTGGGGGTAGGGAAATGGAGCAAAAACTTTACCTTTGAATATTTTTGTTCTGTTTTTCTTTCATACTATTCAAATGACCAAAATGTCCTTGATCTAGTTTCAGAAAGACAATCTCTGCCTCCAGTCCCACTGAATTTGCATGATTACCCTCCTTCAACTCAATGCCTTTGAATTTTCAGACCAACACAGTAAATATGCATCAGAGTGTCAATCGTGATACAACCAGGAAAAGTACTTCCAACCAACATATGTGTACAAACATTGTTCTCACAATTATTTATTTACATGTCATTTACGCGATTAGTTATTGTAAGAAGATCGTTGTATATAAACAAATCGCTATTATCTTTTGATTTTTCATTTGAATTTAGAATTTATCATTATTTTCGATCTATTTTAACGTTACCGTGACATATACTAGTACTATGAGAACATGAAAGGGAAATGTTTTTAGACTAAATTGAAGACACCAGTTTTAGTTTTAATTGAATGGTCTGACAGCCAACAAAGAAGATTTTTTAGGATCTTTCTTATTGAGGGAGGGTTGATGGAGGAAGAGGTGGGCACTATTAATGGATAATGGAATGATGGCAAATTGGTCAAAGAAAATTGGAGGGCATGAAAAAGTTGAAAATTTGGGAAGCATTAGGTGGTCAGAGGGATATTTTGCAGTGCAGCAGCAGCTTGCAGGACCAGGCAGAAGGGGCATTGAAGGGAGATAATGCGCGCATCAGAACAGAAGCAAAAAAAAAAAATGAGAAAAGCTTTTGAAATAGTAAAGGGGGAAAGAAAGAAAGAAAGGGGGCATGGGAGACTGGGGAGGAGGGCAGAGGACACCATCATTAGGTTTTTGCATGCGTCTCGATTTCAAAGCTTTACCCAAAAAGAAAAAGATTATTACATTTGCACACCAGCAACAAAACCAATATCATTTTCAATTTATTTATTTATTTTCTGTTTTAAATATTATTACTTTTTCTGTTTTAAATTGTTTACTAGGAGGCTACGTCATCATCATCACAGTGCTATAGAGATAGAGAATAGATCCTACTGTATCTCATGATAATTATATGTAATAATTAAATGAATTAATATACATGGATTTTGTATGCAGAAAAATGCAGAGAATGCGGGCACAAATATACTCGCAGCAGCTCTGTATTTCTTGCATTGCATTGCATATACGTGACATGACCTTGACATGACATGTGAGATGGGGAAAAATTTTGGGTGATGGGATAGGGGGGTGGGTGGTGTGTGATGTAAATGTGTCTGTGTTTTTTTAGGGACAAGAAGGGGTTAGCAGAGGCCTTATCTCTAGCCTCTGTCGTTCGGGCAGATTTAGCTATACGAGAAAAATTAATCTATACAAGGACGAGACGGTGGTATTTCAATTTAATTACGTATTCTTATATGTTAATATATAATTAATTTAAGACATATGATTAATAGCGTTACATACATCACCATACGTTTTGACTTTTTTACATATCAATAATAATTGAATTGAAATATCAGTACAATAATAACCATGGGCGGCCCTGGGGCCTCAGGTTCTTAAGAGGCCCCCAAAAAAAAATTCTTTATATTATATATATATTATTAGAGGAATCATATATATAGTATAGCGTGCAGTGTATTGCACAATGGCATGTCTGGGGGAGTTGGCTGGAGCGCTTACTCATTTAACAACATGGCCAAAATTTGACTCACGTTGAGGTCGATCTATATGCCTTTTTTTATATTAAGGCATCATTTAACAGCAGGAGGAGTATATATATCCCCCAAACTATCGTTCTTAAAAATTTTATAAAAAAAAGTTTTATTCTCCAAGAAAAGTACTTTCTTTATTCAAAACAAAACTTCGTGGCTTCTTCTTTCTCATAAACTCTGATTTTCTGGTAAGTAGTCATCATCATTCATTAATCTCTCTTGGTTCTTTTTTCAATCCTTTGACAATTTTTGTTATTCTTTCAATTTTTCAGGAATTTCAACACCAAAAAGAGAAATTCCTAATTCCTAAATTCATAAAGACCACTCAAAATCAAATAGTCATATTCAAATCTCAATTCAAATTCAGGTATGCATCTAAATTTCAATCTATTATATATATTAAATGACCTATTTTATTAAATTATTATCATGTTGATGATTGGTTATATGAGAATATAGCTTATACAAATATTTATCTATTTCTTGCTCAGGTTTTCTTCCAGGTTATTGGGTTTTGTAATTTTTCTTTGTAATCTAAACATGTCACCTACTAGAAAATACGTTTATGGATATACAAAATCGCTTAGAAAAAGAAAAATCGAGGAATTGACTCAATCTAAAAGAGGAGCTCTTGATAGATTCATTGTTAAATAATCACATGCTACAATTGATGAAAATATTTTCAGTGAACAACAACGAGAAGATCAATTTTCAGACATTAGTATTGTACTGGCTATGTTTTTTTTTTTCTTTTGGGGAAAAGCTCTCGTAATAGTTTTAATTCTTTAAATAAGGACAGCAAATACAATGTGAATGATTTTTGGATATTCAGGTATGTTTTTGTTGTTGTTTTTGTGTTTAAGCAATATAATCTAATTTGTTAATGACATTTGTGTGCAACTATTCTTTAATTTGTGATTGCCAATTTTTTCCCTATTAAACACAGATTGCTTATTGAATGCAGTAAGGGACCTTATAGGGGCAGAATGAGCTTATTTTTGTACCAAACATTTAACTTTATCAAACGGAAACATTTAAATTTTTATGAATTCGCTTTTTTATTGTCATTACATATTTATTGATGGTGACTGTTGTTATAAAAAAAATTATTTACGACATTAAGTTATGGCAAATTTTTATAGTATTTTCGTATTAGATTATGTGAGGCTCCAATTTAAATTTCGCACAGGGCTCTCAAAATCTTAAGGACGGCCCTGATAACAACTTCATTAGAGGAGGGATTAAAAATTAAAATGAGTCACAAAAAGTATGTGAAATGCTACTACCTTATGCTACTATGCTCAAAATTTGCACATGCATTACATACATGAGAGTCCAACCATGGATAATGCCAGTGGTTGATGATGGCCTCACAACAATTTGGTGGGGCCCACTCCTTGATACTAAATCTACAGTTGTCTCTGCATATTTGCTCAGTAGATTGTGTGTTTGGCATAACTTGTACACATATATAATAATAGAAAGTTCTAATTCACAATTAGCATGTGAATCGTTTCTTTTTTTTGGCACAATCTGATAAATTAGGGTAAGAAAAATATCTAATGCTAAGATTTTAATAAATTGTTAGTAAGGGTCCGTTTGTTAGATCGATTAGTTAATAATCTAATTCAATACTAGACACCAAACGAGCCATTGATTGTGAAATTATGGAAACCATACAGGAATTATGAATTTGATTTCACAAACAACACCCCTTTGTGAGATTGTTTTGTTTGTTTTTACTCTTGTTTCTAGAAAGTATCTGAATATCCAAATGATCAAACACGTTTTTGGTAATGTTTTCCCTTAAAATAGACAAAAGCATTTGTAAGTATTAAATGATTTTGTTGATTGTTCCTTTAAAAACCCCATGATTTGTGTATCTGAGGTGGACTCGACAAAACTATTCAAAGTTTGAAAACCCGTTTTGAAAAAAAGAAGTTGAACCCTAAACCAAGACCAAAGATAGACAAGTTGAACCCGTTTTGGAAAAAAGAAGAAGTTGATTTTAGGATATCCATATGATAATAAATTAATCAATAGCTTTAAAGTTAGACCAAAATTAACTTATTGGGTTACTATTTCATCATTGAATAAAATTGACATATATAAGTAGGAATATATGTCCAATTTTGTTTTTTTGTTTTTTGTTTTTCGCATTCCAATGTTTGGTTTGCATACTATAAGTTGGAATTAAAATGTGTCCAATTTTGTTGTAATACACTTGCACTTTTATTAAAATTATTAATACTTACAATGGTCCAAAATGGTATTTGAAATTTAGAAGATAATAAGTTAATTGAAGTTCCTGGAAGGTAGGTTAGTTTTAAAAAAAAAAGTGCATTAAATGCTTTCCCAAGAAAAACTGATGGTGTGAAATTCCCCTTATAAGGGAAGTTCATGCTCATGTGTCGAGAATTGCATTCCCAACTATATAGATACCGTATAAAACTTTGAGTTCTTAGTGAGACTGGACTAAATTATTTCAATTAAAATGGTCAAGAGTCTTGACCGTTGTTTAGTGTGCTTGTACTAGACTTATTAAATTGGACAATAATCCAACATATTGTGTCTTACAAGTCTTATTTAGACGGATAAGACTATAATAAGGACTGACTTAGAGTCAATTCCAATCCAATTCAAGCCATACCACCAAACGAGGCATGAGATAATAAAAATAGAGAAAAAGGAAGTGTACAAGGGCCTTAGAACAAGAAGAAAGAGTGATAATCCAAAGAAATGGAAAGAAAATAGGGTGCGGGCTTGATATCACTAACTCTTAATTAAGAAAATAATACATAATGTAATTCTTGTTAGTGAATGGTATATGAACGTTGCGAAATGTGAGTGACCGGGGACGATCAACCAAACGCGTCCGATGGGGGATACAGTTTATACTATTTTGTTATGGATTTCAAACAATAAAATTTAATTTAATTTGTTTTCCGTTTTTATTTTTATTTTTAATTGAAGTAGAATTCGTTTGACGACCCACCAAGTGCGGTGAAATTACGACCCAAAAAAAAAAAAAAGGTGTGGTGAATTGAATTCGATGGATAGGGACGTAGGTATAGTACGGAAATTTTGACTTCTGGACTCGAACAATTATGCATACTCCCCCTACGACCCACTCATCTCATCATGCATTGCCCTTGCCCATCTAAAACAGTCAAAAAAAAAAAAAACATCATCATGCATACATCGCCCTAATTTTAGCACATGACATGCACGTGACAGAAATTGCCAAATGGCAAATACTATACTCTCTTATTATTATTTTTATTTAATTGTTTTA